ACGAAACCCGCGGGCTGCGAGCCGAGCGCAGCGCTCCGCCCAGGCCTGCCGGGGCGCACGGCGTGGCCCGCGGGGACAGCGGGAAGCACCGTGTTCCTGGACACCCCTGGCACCCCAAGTGTGTGTGCTAGGTCTGTCCACCTGCTGCAGGTGCAGAGGCGGCCGCGCGCCGGGGCCCTTTCCGGGTCTCCCAAAGTCCCCTTCAGTCCTTAGAGTGAAAAAGAGGGGTGTTTTGTGGTCTAGCGGGAAGACTTTTTAACCCATGCATCTAAGTTAGAGGACAAATTAACTGCTCAGCCATTGCACCCCGTCAGCACGAGGGTGCTGGAGAGATGTGGGTGCCGTGCGAGCCGATGGGGAGGCTCTAGCCTAGGTGGCGTGTTCCGGAACCTATCATTCGAATTAGCCGAGTCAGGCAGAGAGGGGGCGGGGAGTGCTTCCGCCCTTGCTAGGAGGGGCTGCATTGCAGGGGAGACCCAGCGGCTGACTCTGTCACAGACAAGGCAGAAGGCGTGAGCAGACAAAGCCGTCTCATCACCAACAGCTTCCTTCTGCAGCCTCCTCTGCAGTCCAGAGCAGACCCCCGAGCCCCAGAGGCATTCCCTCCATCTTCGGAACACGCCAGTCATTCATTGATAACAGGTAACCTAGCTGAGGGGCGGCTTCTCAAGCTTGAAAGACCCCCATGTGAGACTAGGTGGGGGACCGTTTCAGAGGAAAGAAGGGGGCGCTCTGAACAATGGGTAGCTGTTACCAGATTTTTAGCTGTTAAGATCTCCATCTATGCCTTATCGTGGACCTAAGCATTAATTTCCAACACTTTACCTGTAATTATTTCTCGGCATTTAGCTCTTCATTTCGTGTATCCATTTTCCGATAATTTTTGCCTTGTGCATCTAATGGTTTCTGTCTAGTGTCTAGTTATCTGTATCTTCCTTTTCAAGCTATAATTTTGCTACCAGTTATTTGGTGAATCTTTATTCCTACTGTAATTCCTGCAACCTCTACTTGCGTTTCCACCCTCCTCACTGTTCTGTGTCTGTGGTAGGGAGTTTTGGGGAATACTCCTTTTTCCTTTTCTGTTTTCTTTTTTAACACGGGATACTATCCAATCTCTTCCCCGTCTCAGATTTTCACTCCACAGAGGCTTGAGGTAGGCCAGGTGGGGGCAGCTGTGTCATTGCCTGATGGCATGTTGGAATCAGTGCAGCCCACAGGAACTACTGATGAGAACAGGTTTAGCTTTGCAGCCTCTCCTAGTTAGTGGGGAAGGTTGTGGCTAGTAGGAAAATCCCAGAGCAACGTGAGACACACCGAAAGCTTCCAGCTCCATCCTCCACCACCCCTCCTCAGGCTGCATGGTGGCAGCATGACACAGCAAGGCTCTGTGGAGCAGGCCTTGGATGCTCCTCTGTGGAGCAGGCCTTGGATGCTCCTGGGGGGCGGCAGTCTAGACAAAGGGTATTTGGGTGTGTCCATGTGGCTTAAAGAAAGTGTGTCTTTAATCATGGTATCTCGAAAAATTGACAATGAAATTTAGAAGTTACTTTACCTACAATATCGAGGTATTTCAAAATGGATGGTACATTTACTGAGCGTGTACCACGCCGTCAGTCACCATCCAGAGCCTTCAGACAGACAGGTAAATGATGGGTGAAGAGCGGTTAAGGAAGGGAAGGGGAAGCCAGCTTGAAAGCAGCCTGTCTTCTTATTTTACATATACCTGTGTGTCTGTTTTCTGGAATGAATTTGGGTCTCTCTGTGCATGTTTCTGGGCTGGAGATTTTCAGCTTTTTAATATTTCCTTTAAATATTTCTACATAATTTCCTTTAAATTGTTTTATTTCGAACTGGATTTGTGTTTTGTTCATGTTCTTTTTGTTTTGGTTTGAGGGATGGGTCTCTGGACCCAGTATGCAGCCCAGGCTAGGCTTGAACTCACAGTCCTTCAGCCTGCTGAGTGCTGGGATTGCAGCAGTGTGCCTCCACGCCTGAATCTAGCTGTTTCAGTTGGAAGACAGTTCTGTGCAGTCTCTGATCAATTAATTGTTTAGGCAACTGTTATACGTGTCACAGTCGAAAGGAAAGGAGTCAGATTGTCAACACTGACTTGAGCGCCAGCTTAGTCTCTATTTTTCAAGACAGTTTCCTGGCTTCCATACAACTCCTGATCCTCCTGCCTCCACCTACTAGATGCTGGTGTTGTAGTAATTCCTTACCATACCCAGCTCTCCTTCTAGTCAGATTAGAACCACAGAAGGAGGTCAGCAGAATATACTAAGAAAAGCATTATTTTGAGAACTAAATTCTTATGTATGAGTGCTCTACCTGCATGTGTGCTTTTATGCCCAAAGAGGACATCAGGGTCCCCACTATACATGGTTGTGAGCCACCATGTGGTTTGTGGGAAATTAACTCGGGATTTCTGAAAGAGCAGCCCGTGCTCTTAACTGCTGAGCCATCTGCCCAGCACCGAGAACTAAGTTCTTAGCTGGGAGTGGTGGCACATACACCTGTAATCCAGGACTCAGGGGCAGAAGCAGGGATTCCAAGTTAGAAGCCAGCACTTGGGCTACACGTTAAGACCTTGTTTAAGAAATAAAAATAGGGACTGGAGGGATGGCTTGGTGGTCAAGAGCACTGCCTGCCCTTTCAAAGGTCCTGAGATCAGTTCCCAGCAACCACATGATGGCTCACAACCATCTGTAATGAGATCTGGTGGCCTCTTCTGGCCTGCAGACATATGTGCAGACAGAATACTGTATACATAATAAATAAATAGATTTTAAAAAAAGAAATAAAAATAAAACCACAAACAGATGTCTTTTTTTTTTTTTCAGATAGGCTCTCACTGTGTAACTCTGGTTAGCTTGGAATTCACAGGTGCCTGCCTCTGCCTCTAGAGAACTGGGATTAAAGGCGTGGGCCATGACCACCCGGTGAAAATTCTTAATGGAGCATGGTGGTACATGTTTACATTCCAGGCTCCTAGGAGGCTGAGGCAGGACTGAGGGTTGTACCAGGCCAGGACTAGGATGGAGATGGCTCAGT